CTTTAAATGGAAACAATTGAAATATGTTGTAGCTAAAACTTCTTTCACGCACTGGTCCCCAAATAGAGCACTACACAATGTCACAGTATCATGCTTCAATCTTTTTCTTTCAAATGACTTTTTTTGAGCATACATAGTGTGGAGAATCTCTGCAAAAGTCAAAATGGGAATGCTGTGCACCCTGTTGTGGCTTTGTTTTGATACAGGGAAATAAGAGCTTGCACAAAGAGAAGTCTGCTTTTGCAGCTACTGCCCTTAGTCCTCAAAGCAGTTTCTTTTAAGGGAGAGCTGCTGCTGCTCTTCTAAGAATCACACAAGCTCTGTTGGCACAGAAGCCATCACAAAAATACTTTAAATATTGAGAGTATAATGGCCACTGTTGTAGGCTCAGAGCACCTGAAGATGTTGGCTACATCTCATCCAGCAGCCTGATTTAGTTTTGGGAGCCATCCAAATACTCGCATCCCTTAAGGCTTAGAAAAAATACAAGCTTTTGCCATGGTGCTATGGAGAATGTGACAGTGTTTCAAAGGGATTTGGCTGAATAAGCAATCCTTGGAACTGACATCACCTGAGAGTATGGCAGCAGGGCCTGGCTGTGCTGATATGAGCAGAGAAAGAAAAACAGAGAAGGCTCCCAGGAAAATAAGTAAGGTATTTTCTGTCTGGATTGACATTGTGGCAGTTGGCTACAGCCCATTTGAGAATGAATAAATCCAAATACTGACTGTGATAGAGGTTTTGAGATACCTTTTCCTTTAAGTAAAACTCTTTGGTTTGGTTTTTAATGAAATCTATTATAAAATCAAACATTTTTGTTTGCCTCTGGAATAACTACTGATGTACTGCAAAGGGGTCACAGCAAAGGACTTACATTTGGGAAAAATGTGCTGCACGCGACATGAACTTCAACAGGATCTAGGTCAGCTCAAAACCCAGAGCACTCAAAAATTCAGCTTGTCCTCTGTTCTGTCACTCATCCACCATATGTTCTCTGGTGTTTTCATTTTGCCAAGTACAAAAGCTTTGGTGTGGGAAAACTACCTGTGACGCACTAGGACTCTTCAAAGTGGATGGTTGTTTTTTTGGATGCTCTGAAAAGGCCATAAACTAAACTTGACTCTTTCTCCATATATTAAGCTCAGCTGCTGCTTCCCTTTCCGATCTAATCCGCAATAGGGGCTGTCATATCCTGAATACTTCTCCACGTGGATCAATCTGTGGTTTCCATAAAAAGTCAGGCATTCTTACTGGAGAAATACAATACACACATAAATCTGGCAAGCTGTTCATTACAGAAGGCTAAATCCTCTGTCCTCCATCCCATGATAAGGCCTGTGAGGTTACAGCAATGCCCCAGCACAGATTGCATCTCCAGAATATAAGCATCACAAACTTTGCACTTTCTTGGATAAACACTACAGCTGAAATGTGAAAACATTTCTGCAGATGTTGCAGTGTCACTGCAGTGAAAGAACAGCACCAGGTTACTGATTCAGCTGAAATGCTTCTTGCAGAGCCCGCATCAAAGCAAGGCTGTTTTATCAGTTTACATACTTTAAGCTGAGTTTATTCCTTGTGTAATCCTCCTCAAGGCACTCTGGTGACTGAGCAGAACCATTGCCAGAAAGTGTCTGCTTCCTGCTCTGCAAATGTAATTTCTGCTCCCTTCCCTCTGTTTCTGAGCTGGCTTCTGTGAGTTTTTGTTTATGTGCTGTTGCTGAGCCTGAGAGAGGGCTTTTTTTTTTTATGATGGAAACATGGATTTTGATTTTTAAGGGGTTCCTGAGTTTAGGCAGAAATGGCTGGTTTGTTCCTTGGAAATCAGTGTCATCTCACTATGAAAGCGCACTGGAACAAGGGATGTTTTTCTCCATCTGCAGAAGATCACACTGGAGCTGGAAAGCTCCAATGTTTTGCTTCACTGCAGGTCAGCTGTGCTGCAATTCAGCCATCTGCTCATCTGTCCCTCCAGCTGCAGAATAGCCTCAGTAAAAGTGATTAGTTGAGAGCATTTTGAGACCAGTTCATCTCTACAAGCCATGTCTGGCTTTAGATAATGTGCTTTAATGCAGGACTCCTGCAGCATGATACCCTTCAAGATCTCTCTTCTGTTTCTGTGCTCTCCTTCTGATATTAAGAGGGACACCTTATAAAGGCAACTTAACAGCTGGAACCAATAGTGAGGACTGTAAAAAGAAGCTTATTAACTGTGCACTTGCATTGATTACAGCTGAGGGAATCCTTCTTTTGTGAACTTCATGGGAGATGTATACCAAGATGAGAATGAAGCTGGTTTAGGATGTAGGTGAGGTAGGCTCATTGCTTTCAAGGCTGTGAAATACCTGCCTCCGGTAGGAAGTCTGCTGAAGTTCCTAGCATAGCAGGCATTTTGTGTATGAAGGCTTCTCTCCTGTGTAATATTCACAGGTCTGAAGAGCTGGGTATTTCTGTTGTCTTGCTTACAGTAAAACTTGAGCAGGGTAGACTGAGTCATTCTTAGAGATGTGCTTGAGCGCTAAGCAGTATCTCCTGTGGTTTCCTACTCCTATGCCCTGTTCCCATGACCAGGTTGACATTCCACGTGGATATTTTGGTTTACACAGGGTTAATGTAGTGGATGCCAGGAAATAATGCTGCCTATGAGAAATAGTGTGAACATCTGCTGTTACCTTTATTTCCCACTGGTGTTGAAGCCCTCAGGGTTCGGTTGCTGTAGGACTGGCACGTCAGGCACCTCTGGCTCTGCTGAGAGTGCATTCAGAAGGTGAGAAGGGAGCTCCCTTCCCCTTTCTTGGACTGGGGGCTGTCTTCACCTCTGCTGTTGTTCTTCTCACCCCTACTGCCACCTGAACTGTTTCTGTCCAAAATAAAGCTGCTAACATCTCTTTTTACTGTGCTGGACAAGCCTGTGTGGCACTTTTGACAAGAGAGAACAAGCACAGCAGTTCTTTTTTGGGACACCTTGTTCCTGAGCACAGAAAGTTGTAAAAATGCTGATAACGAGCTAGTTCATTCATAGCTGATGCCAGAAATGATTGCCTTCTGTCACGGCACCTCTTAGTGAAAAAGAGCTGATGATTGAGAAAAGCAGAGTTGTCAATTCTGACTCTTTCAGTTACTTTTTTGCCTTGAAGTCTGTTATCTTCAACTGTTCCCCTTGGAGCAGAGTAGGTAGTCTTGGCCAGGGCTAGGCTCTAATTGCTGTTTAGTAATTAATAATGCTTATCAAGTGCCTTTTCTGTGTTGTGGTTTCTACGGATCAAATGCCAAAGGTTTTGGGTTTTTTTTCTGAGCTGTTGTAAATAGTTGACATTTCAGCTCCTATATTATTAGTAAGGCATTCTGAGAAATATTTTCTAGATGTATTTCCCAACATCGCAATAATTTTATACTTACTTCTCAAGATGCAGAAATGTGTGTTAGTCCATGGAAGAAAACATCCCAAAACAAAAACATGATTCTTAGAGTTAAACCACCATCCTACTTTAATGAGTATAATTTAAATCAAACCAAGTTATGGGCAAGCGATGGTACGTCTCCCAGCAAAAACTTGTATTGTGTTTTGGCCCTCAGCATAAGGAGACAAGGATTCATTTTCTTGAAGAGCTTCCTTTTTTATGTTCTTCACATACTTGTGGAAAAACAAATTATTTAGGGAGGTGGATTTTGGTATTAATTTTATTTTGCCATCTTTGGTCTCGCCCACCAATAAATCCGGAGCATCAAGAGGTTTGTCATGACTTCAGGGAGGATGGTTCATGGCTGTTTCTGGTTACAGTCACATCTGGGAATCTAAACAATATTACAGGGCACGGTGGAGCATGGGTTACTTGCAACAAGGGCACATTGACCCCAGCTTGTTTCTTTTATTGCTACTTCTTTTATTTTTGTGGGGGTTTTTTTTGGAGTGGCCTTGACTGTAAAATTGCTGTCAGTTCATTCCCCCTATGTTTGGTTTGTCTCTTCCCTCCTGAGAATTGCAGTGAGGGTCATAACTAAGTTGGCTGGAAGTCTTACAAAGGGTAGATGAAGTAAGGAAGTAGCCCCCTAAGCCAGACTCCTTTCCAAGATCCTGGGTCCTATCTCCTTGAGTTACCAGCTAAAGTTGCATGAAAGCAGGAAGTAAACTGTACAATGTATAACCCTGACTCTAAACGCTACTGCTTTCTTATTCACCTATATATAGTGGGGGAGAAAGCTTGGTGGACTTCAGGGCAAAATAATTCAGGACACTTATTCTGGTAGTCTCTTTACCTTCTTAGAAGGGCCCTGGCTGAGCTGTGAGGCAAATGCATCTCATTGTGACTTTCCCATAGCACACTTTCCTCTATCTTTCTAACATTGGTTTTAGATGAATGCTCTTCAGTGTAGGGCAGATATCTCAAATAATGCTTTTTCAGTCAGAGCAAAAAGATGATAGTCTTCCTAACCAGGCTGGGGTTCTTCCTGACTCAAATCTGATAATACAACAGTTAAATCTACTCCACTACGTTAAGATTGACAAATGGCAGTGAAATTGTACTGGCTCATTTGACTTGTGTCATGTTAATTTGATAAATACAATTTATGTAACTCTATCCAGGATTGTACTTAACAGCATATGATCTAGGTACTAAATGTTTACATACCATAATGTGTTGATATTTGTTCTGATCCTTTTGTACTTAAGCATGAGATTTAGAATACCTCACTTCTTACAAACTATCTGTGCTTCTTTGTATTATTGAGACGAATTAGAGGAGTTCTTCAGTGTAAAATAAGTTGTAGAATTCATCTTGGCTGCACTGAGGGATCTGGAACTGGGGTCTGGTCCAGTCCTCTTCTTTCCAGTGTTTTGCTGTAGAAGTAGATGCAGAATAGCCAGCCACTGGGGAACAGCAAGCATCTGCTGTCACTCTAGCAAGCTCTGAGAGACTCTGGGTCCTCCTACAAGCTCTTACTGGGTCCCTGAAGTTGGTTTACACTTCTATATCCAGCTATGTTGCAAGAAGCAAAGGGCTTTTTATCCTTGACAGTCCACACCGATAAGGACTGCCTGCTGCTAGCAAACCTGTTTTTCCGAGTAATGAAGTAAAGCCAACAGAACTGGTGACAAGGGCTTGCTTTTCCTAGGCAGGATTCATCCCAGGAGAGCTTGGTGCACAGTAGTCAAGAGTTCTAATGTTGCCACAGCAGAATAACCAAAGGTACTTCCTGGCTTGTGAGTACTATGGAGATTTTTTTGTAGCCTCTAACAATGGCTTTTAGGTGGAGTCATTAGATGCGGTACAAGTAGTTTAATGGTAAAATCTTAGTAGCCTGTGTGCATGCTATACTGCGGTTGACAAAGTGGTGTGATCCTTAATGCACAGGGAGTTGAAGTGCTCCTAAATGTGCCTTGCATATGTTTTTAAAATATGTCTCTGCTCAGAAAACAAATTGGGATGTAATGTTACATACACTGTAGATCTTGCATGTGTTGTTTTTGTGCCTCTGGTGATAAGCCTGTTTAGTTATGTGTAGCTTTATGTATAAATCTCTGTACATATGCCAGAAGAGACATATACTTCTGTTGGTGCAGTTGCTGGGTTGTGCTGATACAAATTTAAGCAAGACTTGTCCATGTAAAAAGGAAATGTGTGTGTATCTAATCAAATTCTGTCCTATTTTATACTCCGGTTCAGCTCCAGTGAGAGATACGACTGATGTCAGGCTTTGGCTTTGCTGCGTGGGTTTGCAGGAGCTTTCAGCAGAGAAAGGCTTGCCACTGCTCACTGCAGAATTTCTGTTATTCACACAGTGAAATACATTCAGTAAGAAGTTGGTTTTTTTCCTTTGCATCATGTTTCAAGGCAGTGCAGTTGACAGAATTGACTGTCCCCCATTAATGGAATGCGAAGCTGCTGAAAGCAGCTGGAGAACCATGAGAGCGGGGAAATCTGCAGCCCATTGGCTGCACTAACTACACTGAGAAACATCTGCAATGCCAGTCTCCCAATTCTGCTGGATACGCTTAATTATTTAGAGCGGAGCAAACATTTGAGCCTGTTTTCCTTTCTTCCTCAGAGAGTAGATGCATTAACATTTTCCTGGTGATTTGTACAGATAAAGTAGCTGTTCCAAGTGCATTTCATGATGCAAGATGTGCTTTTAGAGGCTTTCAGATACTTCAGTGAAGAACACAAAATGATCTCGCTATTTCATCAATCAGTGTGAAATGCTGCCTGTGATTAACATCTCCATTAAAAGTAATCTCTTGAACTGCTTGAAAAAAAAAGTGCTTCAAGAGCATCATATGGGTGCATAAAAAATAAAGTACTGATCAGTGCAGTGTAGTGCCAGGGTCTGACGGTTACACTGGAGATCAGGCTGGGGATAGTGTTGAACATAGGGTCTATTCCTTTAAAGAAGGAACCAACCATGTCTTTTCCTGGTTATAACAACTTACATGTTTACAGGTTTTGTGCAGTGGAAACTAAAACTATTTGTCATAAACTGAAAAGCACATGATTATAACATCTCAAAGTAACAAGGTGTTCTATAATATTTTATGAAATGTTTCCAATAAATCATATACATATGCATATCACCCATGAGAGAGCAGTATCCTCTGGAGTTTTAATCCCATCTTGGATGTTTATTTTCTTTTGGCTTAGAACAAATACTTTGACTTTTCTGTGAAGTTATTGTCTCTGAGTCACTTTCTTCCCTGACACTAGGGTTGTAAAGACATGTGGTTTTAAAGAATATCATGTTGATATTCTGTAATGTTAATTAAGGAACAAAGGGTCTACAAAAGACCCTTGTACCTTGTCAGATACAGCTATTTATATGTTGTATAGTTGAAGCACATGCTCCAGATAGGTCTCTTCAGACAATAAACTGTACTGAAGTATCATCAATCACACAACTTTGCATATCCCCCCAGAATGGGGCTTGAGGTCAGTCTGCATTGCTCCACAAAAGCACTGACCTGACCAGGTTACAAATGCAATTTGCTTAAAGTAAAACATATGACAAGAAATATGGTCATAGTTAGAAATGACCGAATAAAAATGTAAACTATGTTCTAAATTGCTCTGATTTACATTTGAGAAGAATCCACTGTGGATTCTCTGGTGTGCTCTCCTGCTCATCTTCAAAGCAGCAGCCCTATGTTGAAGTGTTCAGCTAGAGGGCACAGTAGTTTTTGCCTGGAGTTTGAGGTGAAGAAACCCTTAGGGCAGATGCACCTCCCCATTAAACATAAAGTACCCATACTCCTAATCTACTCCTCTGAAATCACCCATGTCCTAAAATGGTTCTCCAACAGCTGAACAAGCTCTTCATGCAGTGGTTGCTTATGTTCAATGTTTTTAATAAGCAAAATGCTGATATTTTGGAAAAGTTAGCACTGGATGACAATGAAATGGAGGATCTAGTTGTTTTGAGCATCATGACAGCAGTTTGTCTCATTTGAAGGCTTGGTCCAGAGCTTAGTCCAGAGCCTTCTACACTGTTGGTGATGACACCAGCAGTGTAATGACATGAACATATCTCCAATTTCACTTACTGGTTTATAACCAGTATTGGTTCTGAACCTTAGATGAATGAGGAGCTGCAGCATCCCTTGGATTTGTTGACTTAATCAAGCATATGATTTTTCTTACAAAGAAAACCCAGGTGAGGCTTTGTGTAAATGACTTTGATAATTGAATGTTGGAGGGAACATTGCTGGCTGGAGTGTCCACCTGAGGTGTCAATGAGAGAAAGCACAAGATATTTCATACAGAAACTGTGGTGAGAAATAACCATGGAAACATTATCATTTGAGCCTGCCAGATGGTGAAAACAGGCTTCCCACACACATACCTTATTTTTCATTATCACAGGTCCAATGTGAAAGTAGGGGACCAGCCGGCAGGACAACTCTGAGGTGTGAAGGAGCTCAGCTCTGTGAAGCAAGAAAGCGTTCTGTGACATTGCTGTTTCTTCTGCATCCAGGCTGTGGTCTGGGCCATGCACAGAGAATCATGGTCATTCTTCCAGCAGCAGAGAGGATGTTTGATTGCACAGCTCAGGGATGCTCAGTACTATCCAACCTTGCAAGGATGGCTTATCCAAAACCTATGGGGGCAATTGCTACAGGGGTAAAGAAACTGATTTCAATGTCCTGGGCAATGTTAGATGAGCAAGAAGGACTCCATTCTTCCTTTACAGAATCCTGCTAATAAAGTGAGGAAACCTGAGGATCACCTAGCCCATCTGCTGGTTAAAGAATTCTTGCCTCTCTCATTAGAGCAATGGAGTGAAAGCTGCAATCATTATAGAAGTGCAACAGTGATGAAAATGAGTTTCATTGGGGATTTGCCTTCATTTTTATTTTCCTGCCAATGGGGGAGGAGGAGAATGGATTGGAGAAGAATAAGGTACTAATTTTATAGGAAAGAAACAACTAAAAATGAAATAATGAAAGCACAGCTCTTCTCAGACATAAGGGGAGTGATTAATTCAATGGGAGATGGGAAGAACATATATAGGACTGAAGAGGTGCCAGTGATGAAGCCAGGCGAGTGAAGAATAGGAGGGATACTTAGGAGAGCGGACACTAGAGGTGCATGGAAAAGTCTTCAGGAAGGCATATAATTCAGGAGAAGAAAGCCTCAATTAGATTAATTAGAGAACCACTCAAGTCTGAGTCAAGACACCAAGAGAAGGCACTGTGAGCTGGCTCAAGGTGCCACCACCACAGTATGAAACATTTAACCAAGAGGAAGAGCTCTGCTGCTCACCCAAGCTCTTTTCTAAGCACTGCATGTAGTGAAACTTAGTTCTAGTTGTTTTGCAGGTTACAGTGTTCAAGTATGGGTAAAGGAAAGCTAAAAGCTCTGTTTTCTCCCCTGCCAATCTTCCATTCACACGTAATCTCTCCTGTATTCAGAGAGTGAGGGCTTTGGAAGGCTTTCTCCTAGTGTTCATAGTCCTTGGGTCTTTCTGTATAATTTGAAGAGGCTGTCTTGAGTAAGGCAGATTGGTATATGCAGCATTAAACCAGTGACTCTAGGTCAAATAGAAGTGTTCTACTGTATTTGTTCCAAGTATCTCTAAGATGCTAACTTCAAAATGCTTAACAAGGGCAAGTTTTAAATAGTGGAACATGGAAAAGGTCTATCGGGACAAAAGGGGAAAAGGCACTTAATAAGAGAGAAGACCTGTTAAAGGAAGATCTCCATTTCTTTGTTTAAAAGCCAAAATTTCAAGAGGGGATTGATCTTGAGTTGTTTTGGATTAGATTTGGTTTCTGATTAATCTGTTCCTTTCTTTGTGCGACAAAACACCAATTCTGTTTAAGTCTTCTGAGTGATGTTACAAAATAAACATTTCAATTTGGTTCAAAGGAATTAAACAATGTAGTCACACTCGAAGACACCATATTAAAGTGATGAGAGATGTCCAGGTCCACTTTCCTCCATAATTAAAGCCCTACTTGACTAAAACCTGAAAGGTCGTTGTCAGATCTCTTCTTTCAACCTTCTTTCATTACATTTGAGGTTCAGGTTTTGTATAAACCTTGGCAGAAACTTGAGAACCGTAGTTAATTCCAGACTATATTTGACAAATAAAAACGAGCATGGCTGGGCACTTCTGGCCAAGCGCATGCTGGGGTTTTATGACTTTGCAATGGACACTTCAGTCATCAGTTGTGGTGTCCTTTGGAAATTAGCTTCTCTCTCCCTTTTGTCCCCAGAATTTTGGATGTTTGCAATATAAAATCTAAATATTTTTATTTCTGTTGCAATATTGTACCCAAAGCTTTCAACACAAATATTTTATTCCTTGTTCATCTGGTTCTCACTCAAATGTGTGAACTTTTTTGCTATATTTGCTTCAAAGGAGCAGTTTTGAAGTAAAACCTCAATTATTTTGTAGTGAATGCTCAATCTAACAACTTGGCCAAGCTGATATGCTTTGTTCATGACCACATTTCACAAGATCTCACAGAAATAAATCTATCTCCTCTACTGTGATTAGAATCTATTCCATTTTTTCTGCTGTATGACCTTGTGGCAAGGTGTTATCAGGCAAAGCTATGTTGTTTTATGCCTATTATCTTGTATGAAGTCCCTGACTGAGGTTTATTGAACCTTGCCTCCTGTTCCAGCTCTGCGAGGAAGAGGACTTCCATTTATTTGGAGAGCTCCTAGCAGTGGAAAAGACTGGGCTGGGGATTTGTTTCTAAGC